CTGCTTATAAATAAACCGCAATACGTTAACTCACTCTCAATAATTTTTTAATACGATTCTTAACGGAGGAGGTACTATGCAATTCTACCGCTCCAGTAATAATTTATCATTGAAACACGAGGGGAAGAACCCTTGCGGCAATAATGGTATCAAAGAATTATTGCGAGTGTATTAACGTTTGCGGTTTATTTATAAACAGGAGAAATTTTGAGATTTTTTATCACAAGGTTATCGAGAGTACATATAATTGGTTTTACTTATTATTCTATTCGTAATTCCTTTTTTCATTTTATTTCAAACTTGCTTTGTTGCGGGTATGTATTGATATATTATAATTGTGAAATGCTGTTTAATATTTAGATTCTTGAGAAACTTTTAGCTCATTCTAAGTAAATGTGACATTCAAGCAATTTCTCAAAACATAACTTGCCTGTAAAGATAATCAATCGCTTTTAATGATGCTTCTGCACTTGTGAATACGACACTCTGCCTTGTTGAATACATATTGTTGGTAACCCAGTGAACTTACACCTGTCACTTGTGTATGTGCATATAAACATAAATATACTTGAAGTTCAACTTCAATTTGAAATTGTTAAGTGAAATTTATATGCTTATGTGCAAACATTCGGCACAAATGCGCAGTCAAAACGTAATGTAAATAAAATAAATCCTAAATAACGAATCTTTTCAACGTTTGAAATTCGAAACTGCGATAATGAAAGTTATCATTACATTAATCACCATGCTATTTATTTCACCCTGTCCAACGAATTCCAATCCAACTATCGATGCAACTTACTTTCTCAAAACTTTCAATAATTGCAGCGTCACAATTGTCCAGTTTATTAACTACGCTACTGCATCTTTCTACCCAAAGATATCCATCGAATTGGCCTTCACACAATCTCCTACTCACGGTCCAATGGTTATCTATTCCGCCACAGAAAAAATGTTTTTTAAACCACCAAGCCAAAATACAAGATCTTAATCAAGGTACGTCCCGGCAGTGAAAAAATCTAGAAACACTGCGGTGCAAGCCTCCTCCTCCAACCAGAACGTACCCCATTATTTCAACAATATTTAAACCAAGTGGAAACTCAGGAAGTCGAAAACTCCCACATTTCTAACGAATATCTCTTTAATGTCTTTACCTCGGAAGCCATCCTCGCCCCAAGGTTTTACCCACACTGGATTATCTGGATAAGTGATACGGACACAGGATTATTTCCCCTCGTGAAGCGCGCTGTTTCTTATCTACCCGAAAGTTGGAGGGTACTAATTTCCTTGAACTTTTATTTTCTCAAAGTAAAATCCGGACAACTTAACAAATTAATAATTGCCACTTTTGGATGCCGCCTCATTTAGAGGATGTCGACAAATGGAGCGACATACCCTGTTTTACGGAGCACATTACCCCAGCAGCCTGCCCCGCTCTTCTAGATTCGAATGATGATCGTCTTTCCCGCTATAACAAATGGCTCTGGTCGCCGGATTCAGTCTCACTGCGTAATCCGAGCTCGTACGAGAGGTTACAATTCCTTCAAGAAATCCAGGCTGACAGTCTTTTCAAGGATATGCAGGATTTCGTCACTGTTTTAGCTCAAGTTAAGAAAATCTCGTTAGACGAATTTATCGGAATCCTCCTTTTACCAAATGTTAGCTTGTACTTTGCGACCGATTGGAAAAAGCCTCATTGGAAATTTGGAATTTCAAAAAAATCGCCCAATCTTGACCCTGACGCTCCAATAATAATTTTATTGGCGACTCAAACTTACAACTTTTTGTCATGCTATGGTCTGCAAAGAGACAGCTGGGCCCTGTATGTGATGCCGTTCGATACCTTGACGTGGATATTAATTGGGGTTGGCATTATCGTACTTGGTTTCTTGATTGAATTTCCCGCATCGTCATGGACGAATACTTGTTCAACAATTATCAACCTTGGCGCCGCTCCGATAGAAATATCAGTATTTAGCGGCAAAGCACCCCATTGGTTTTCCACCTGTTTAATTTGGCTGTGGGTGGGGTCCGCCATTATTTTGACGAACTTGTATAAAACCGTTTTCACGTCGGATGTCACACTGCCATATGCCACCTACGCCAATTGGTCCACACTACATAAATGACGTTTACGTCGACGGATTTCATCTCTATTTTCCTATCGAGGACTCTTCAGTTTCAGAATATCGATACTTACACGATCCATTATTCGTACATAACACCGAAATTATGGACAATTTATGGGACCTTTTTGGATTTAGGGATCAAGATGAGATGGATTCAATCATACAATATTTGCCGCCTTACAATTCATTTTTACCGGACTGACAAGGGAACCTCAACTACTGTCCCATCTCGATTTCCTTCGTAATAGCCTTAATCGACAGATAATTTAATGAAACTAAAACTTTGTCATAGAACATGCGGTGCAAAATCACGTTTTCGCGAAATTTTTGGCGAGAACTGCACCAAAACCTGCATTTTCCCAATGCTTTTAACATAGCCCCTAGCCTTTCGAATGATGAAATGAACTTTATTGAATATTGAAAAAATATTTATGTACCCGTCCGCGTAATTTCACCCCGATCACGAATATGCAAAAAGTGATGCAGACATTTGCCAATTATTTGCAAATTGCGAAAATCGGAAATATTTCGCAAATTTGAATACTCGTTCCTTTAAATTCAACAAAATTTTAACTAATGTAAAATGCAATTTTATTGTTGCAAAAAATTTGCAAAAATTGAAGTACCGTAAATACTCTATTTATACCCGGGGCTAAAATCCAAAACTGAAGGTAACGGACCCGGCTTCAATTAGAGACCGGTTATAATTAGAGACCCGGGTAAATTTTGTTGCTCCAAAAATTTTAGATGTTACCAGATCACGTATAATTCATGTTGACTCAATTTGAGTTTTCTTATTTAGCAAGATATGCCATCAGTAACCCATTCACTTTAAATCTAATTTTTTAACGAGTTTTAGCGGTTTTTTAAAAATTTTTTGATATGATTATATCCATTATTAACTTGAAATTAATAGATAAAAATTAGTAGGTCGACTTATATGTTTATTAGCATAAAATGCAGCATTTTTCTTGAATGGGCTATGAACGGGGACACAGCGCACAAGACAAGCTATAATTAGAAACCGGGCTATAAGTGGGCACCCGGCTATAATTAGAGACCCGGCTAAAATTTTGAAATCTTGGCCTCTAGACCCGGCTATATTTGGAGACCGGCTATAATTAGAATAGGGCTATAAATAGAGGTTTTACGGTACGCAATATTTCAATTTTTCATTATCCTTTCATTATACAAACTAAAAAATTATCATTTACATACATATGCATGTACGAATGAAGGAAAAGCTAATTTGCTTAAGAACTAAAAATCACGCCACACATTGCAATTTGTTGCAAATTGCAACAATAAATATCGCAAATAATTTGGAAAAATATGTAAAAAATAAATTAGCATTGGTTATTTTAACTAATTTTCATGAAAAATTACGAACTTCAATTTTTGCGAATTTTTGCAAATTTTTTTGCAATAAGAATATTGTATTTTGCATTAGCTAAACTTGTTAATTTTGTTCAATTTAAATGAACGAAGAATTCAAATTTGCGAAATATTTCCGATTTTCGCAATTTGCAAATAATTGGCAAATGTCTGCATCACTTTTTGCATATTCGTGATCGGGGTGAAATTACGCGGACGGGTACATAAATATTTTTTCAATATTCAATAAAGTTCATTTCATCATTCGAAAGGCTAGGGGCTATGTTAAAAGCATTGGGAAAATGCAGGTTTTGGTGCAGTTCTCGCCAAAAATTTCGCGAAAACGTGATTTTGCACCGCATGTTCTATGACAAAGTTTTAGTTTCATTAAATTATCTGTCGATTAAGGCTATTACGAAGGAAATCGAGATGGGACAGTAGTTGAGGTTCCCTTGTGAGTAATAAGAATATTGCGACGCCAAGGTTTCACTTTAAAAAAAAGAATAATATTTACATTAATATAATAATATTGACATTACCGACATCCTGACCATTTTCGCGCCAACTTTTTCCGTTGTGATGAGAAACGGGTGTATCTGGACAAGAGTAAGCGGACGCAGGCACTCCTCCCATTTTTAAACGATAACGAACAAGGGTTGACATTCAAGAGTGGAGAGAAACAAGAATTTCTGACGAATTGGCGGGGTTGGAATTTCCCGCGAGTGAGAAATCACTATGTTGCTGGGTTATGGGAGAAATTAGTTTGGTCTGGGATTTATTCCCGGTGGGAGAAGCTATTTGAGATATTCAATCCAGAGAAATTGTTTGATTTTTATGAAAATTGGAGGCCACGGAGGGGAAATAATTTTGCTAAATTGGATATGAATTCGCAAATATTTCCGGCGTTTTATATTTTCAGTTTTGGGATTGGGGTGGCATTTGTTTTGATAGTAATGGAAATTTTGACTGGTTTTAAATATGATAAATTTAGCATATATAAGTTAATTTGTCGTTTTGTAAGATGTTGCTTAAAGTAAGGTTATTTGTAGGGGTTTTGTTTAAAGAAATAAAAATTATTTCATTTTTGCATATACGTACGTAATATGAATATTGGATTTTGTTCTAATTTTTGTTATGTATGTATATGTACATATACAATCATGTAAATATTTGTAGGTATGCAACTCTAATCAAATTGAAAAAATTAGGCATGTTTAAATAAAATATTTTCCCAATTTTCATAAATATTTCAGCGTTACAAGAATTATCAATAAGTCAAAATGATTTTAATCAGTTACTTATTTATAAATGTATGTAGGTATGTATAGTATGTATCTATCAAAATTTTAAATTAAATCAGAATTCTTAGCTAGAGAAATTCAAATTTTTGTATAGAATTTTCATAATGGCTTTGGTTTTTAAAATGTTTCATACACAGATAAGGGCTTCACCATAATATTCTCATTTTCCCCCTGCACGTGCAAGCGGCTAACTGAATTCAGTCCCTGCTGATGTAAACAAAACAAAACGACAACTCAATAAACAACTTGTGTAATAATTTGGATATTTTAATTTAATTACAATTAACTTAATTTATCACTGTTGCTAATTACTCAAAAATAAGTCGGATCATGAGTTTGTATCGAAGTTTAAAACGGTATACATTTGAATTTACGTGTTCTTTACACCATAATAAATCCAACATACTAGTTATTAATTATAATTAGTATTTATTTCTAATTTCGAAATACGATTTTTAATTTATCTACAAATTCACATCACAGGCAACGTAGAGACGCGCCACTTTCGACGGAGGGGATAAATAACCAAATGTGGAGACAACAGAGGAGGAACGAGTTTTTAGAAGACGACGACGAAACGTCGGTGAACGCTTTAACGCATCCAGTGGTAATTTAATTAATTAAGTATTTAATGAGGGTATTCATTTCAAGTTCACAACGTTCGCAAAAAAACAAATTCCCAAGTTTGCACAAAATTTTGGATTGAAATTGAATTTGCGCATTTCCAAGGTCGCATTTTTTCAAAATTGTGTTGCGATGCGAGTTCGTAACAAATACTTTATTGATACCTATAAATTGATACCTTATTGTACACAATTTACAAAAATAAGTAAAAACTATCACTTTTGTCTAAATCTGATTTCAGATTTTGAATAAAATCTTTGGCTTCTTGGACACCGAAACTTTACATTCCGTCCGACTCGTCTGCCTCCTGTGGGCCGAGACGGCTACCTCCTTTCTCGGCAGACAAGGTCGCCTCACCCTTACGACGGAGTCGCAGCCACCCCAGCCTTCCACGCCGGGGGAATTATCCTTCAGCCAAAAACTGATCAAGGAGACCACCCTTTATATGGATTGCATCTGCCCTACCGCCACCGACATTTGTCACTGTCCTTTTACCGGCCTGGAATCAAATACCAGTTTGGCCTCTAAATTCGGAACACTTTGGTCCCCCACTCGTCACAAGAGGTTGACCACGCTGAATTTCACGATACGAAAGACGTTTAATCCCTGCCTGCACGAAATTTTGAAGACTTATCATTTCCCGAGCCTTAAAAGTGTGACGATTATCGCGGATACGGTGAATCTCGATGAGGACGACGACCTGGCGCCAGTGGTACAAGATATGGGTCCTTTTCAACCACTCGAAGGTCTGAAATTGCTCAATTTCTGGATCGATCCTTCCCACGATGTACGCTTTTTGGGAGCCTATTTGTCCTCCCTGTGCCAAGGACTGGTTAACGTGGCCCCCAATTTAGAGAAATTGGACCTTGTCGCCAATTTCTATCCGGATTTGACCCCTTGTGAAAAACTGGACGAGGTGGAGTTTGCGTTTGTGGAATTTAAAGATTTTTGCACGAAGGATGTAATTCGACTGGACGCCGCTGAGGTGAAGAGAATGCTGGAAAGTTGCGATTCTCTGCAACAATTGACGTTGAATTATCATCCGTGCGATAAAAGTGTGGTGGTGCCGATTAAGGTGAAATATTTCGTTTTTTTTACAAATTTATGTGTGCATTTATTTGTCAGAATATTTTTACGTCAGAACTGGACAATTTATCACAAAAAAATTGGCACATCTTTAGTCATTTCTCGGCTCTGGGAATTTATTTTAAAATTCTGGACGACAAATTTATAGTCCGTATTTTAAGGTGATAAATAGAGTTGTTTTGAGCCGGTTTTGATGAACTTCGATTTTTTGAAGTTTCTTAAACTTGCGATCTTTTCCTTCAAAAATTGTCAAAATCTGGAGCGTATATTTTTAATAACTTTTCAGTGACCCACTCTACAAACTTAACTTCCAGAATTATACAATAAATTCCTAGAGCAGAGAAATAATTAAAAATGTGCTGATTAGGAGTCATAGAGTTGTAGCTTAATTTGTATTTTTTTGTAAAAAGGTGGATTTTGTCCTGCCGAATCTCGTCCATCTCACAATCACAGCTGCCGACGTGTACAGAATTGAGGACTCATTGAACACCACAAATCTCCCAGAACTTACCCATTTATCCGTCAGTTTTTACCGCTGTCGTGACCTTTCCGTGATGGCAGCCTACCAGCATGCGCACCACGACGGGATCACCGTATTCCACGTGGGGTGCACGACACATGTCGAAAGTTCCGACGAAAATGGACATTCTGCCGTAAAATTGGATAATAACTTCCCGGCCGTGGATGAGTTCAAGTTAAAATTGCGGATGCGCTTGGGGGACAATGTCGAGCACGATTTTCGGACTTTAAAGGAAGCGATGGAATCGTTGGGTGGCTGGAGGTTGAAAAGTGGTCAGGTGGACGTTCAGTTTGTGGGGTATCAGACCAACGGGATCGATTTGTATGAAGTGTTCGCTTCCAAAGTGATGATCGCCATGTTGGATGGACTGAAAGGGTGGAAAGGTTAGTTTAAATGCAGGCAAAAATTTGGATTTAACCCGATTTTTGTAATGAATTTATAGTGTTTCGTTTTTTTGCTACAGTTTTTGAACTGCAAAGCGAGAAACGCGTGAAATGCAAGGTGTAAAAGACTGCAAGAAAGTGCCCGAAATATGCGCCATCTAGCGGCGCGGCCTAAGGGCGGAAAGTACATAGCTTCTTACGCCTCGCATTTCTTGCAGGTCAAAATAGCTGCAAGAAACCAATTTCTTGCAGTTATTTCTTGCAAGCGGTTACTTGTAAGACTTGTAACAGAAACACTAATTTCATAGATTTTTTATTTCAATTTCCAGGTTTGTCAAACACGTCCCTTAGATTTTTTAGTTACCGTTCCGGTGCAGAATTTAAACTGACGGATGGAATGCGAGATGCTTTGTTGGCATGCAGAACGATTGGAAACGTGGCTATCGAGGGATTTCAGGTACTTACATTTTCATTGCGTTTAATTAAAGAAGGGTGATTTTTATTATGCTAATTTATCCACATATTTATGTATCCGTTTATTTAGATGAGGGTGGAAACTGACAAGGATTTTGATTCATTTATTGGAGAAAATAATTTGAAAATTAAAAGCAATAATCGTACCTGGGTTGAGTGATGTAACGACCCATTTGACGTTTCAGGACGAAGACATTTCCAAGTTATTATGACTATAAACTTTATTTTTTTTAATTTACTTTGCATTAACTCATATTTTAAGTACACTTTATAGGTTAAGTACACTGTGATTTTTGTTACCATGTAATTATGTAATTAAACTTTTGAAATGTATCCAGTTTTGGTAAAATTTTACCAAAAAAAAATATAAAATTAAATGACACGTTGAAACTAATTTCTATGCAAATCTAATTTCTCTCGTTGATGTAAATCATGTCTCACGTTCCCCAGCACGTGACCTTGACAACTGGAATCGCTGCTGCTGCTGACGCACTTTTTGAACTTTTCTTGTTCGATTTGTATCTTGCATAGAAGAAACTTTTCTTTGTCCCTTTCCACCATCAATATTACATCATTTACATCTTATGATAAGATTCTTATCATCACATACAATAACTGATAACTAGTTAGTTATTACAATGGGGTCCTCTTCCTCGTTGCCTGGCATCATTCCAGAAAAGAAATTGAAAATTTGGAAAGTATTTAGCGACCCGAGACCCGAAGGAGAGGAAATTTTGAAAATGGCGAAATTGGCACATGCCCAGAAAAGTAAAGGGTTCATCGTCACCATGGCCGACGAGACTTATTACTTCCTCATTGATGATCATGGTGGGAGGAAAATTACTAGAATTGCGGGATTATGTGGCGTCCAAGTGAAAGGTACACAGTATAAATTGCTTAAAATTCTAAAAATTGATACATGAATTTGTGCTGTTTCTAGAATTTATCGTTGGATCAAGTGGCCGGACCTTCGCCTTAACGAATGATGGACAACTCTACTCTCCAGACCTTGTAACAGGCAGTCTGACCGGAGAGAAAGTAGTACAAATGGCGTCAACAGGAATGCGTGCCTTGGCATTAACTTTGCGTGGGGATGTCCATCACTGGTTTTTGGAACGCTCACCAACCGTGATCGCAAAGGAGAAATTTGATTACAAGAAGGTTACCTCCGTGGCGTGCAATGCTTACCTGAGCGTCGCCTTAAGTGAGGATGGACAGGTACGTTCATGCATTTGGTTTAAGGGGCCGTACGTAGATTATGTAGGGGAAAATCGCAATTTTTAGACCCCCCTCTCGCGTTACATAATTCTTGAACGGTGCCGAAAGTAAAGTTGAGCAATGCGATGGACTTGTAGTGGCGTAAACTTACGGCAATATGCATTAACTGACATACAGACGGCGACAACCTACATATTAATGGGTTTGTCGTCGTTTGCCACATAGAAAACTAATTTTGATACATTTAACAGCTATTTGAATGGAAATCAGGCGAAAACGTTTGTCCAAATGCTGAACACACTGTACTGTTTGAGTTCAACACTTGGACAAGAAAAGGTGCCACAAAAATCTGCTGTAAGTACCTCCTCACCGATTAAAAAGGTAATTGTGACACTTCTTTATAAGAACTTTATTATTAAGCATGCATTTATTTAACTGAACTAGTCACTTATTTCTCTGCAGATAACAGCAAGCAAAAGTACTATTTTCGCACTGACTGTTGATGGAACAATGCACTAGTGCACTTTTTATGGAAGCTATTCGACAGCTACTAAGAATGACCCAGTATGGATTCCGGTGTCAGGCTACACAAACGTCCAAGACATCGCAACCTGCGTGACGGAGGATGTTAGCGTTGTCGAGTTGAAGGCTGGCGCTGGTCGCTACGTTGGAAATCGGGCCCCTTGGAGTGAACCATTCTTTACTAAATCTAAATCGTTGGACGAATCTTTTGCCGAAATTTGTCAGACCAGCTACCAAACTATTTGGGTCCCAAGTGAACCTGAGCCAAGCAAATTGGGTGATGACATTTCCACGTTGTGGAGGACCAAGGTTACAAAATTATTTTGAGGGCTGAAAATGTATTTTTTATAGAATTACTGAGATTCTTATTTTACAGAAAAATACTGACGTAACATTTTCCGTTGAGGGGCAACTCATCTCCGCGCACAAGTTCATCTTGACCATGAGGAGCGAATATTTTGAGAAAATGTTCAGCGGCGAGTGGGCCGAGGCTGAAGGATCGACGTGAGTAGAATTTGAAATACATTTACGAATTGTTCACAAGTGGTGTGCTAAATTTTTTTGGACGAATTTTTATTTACAGGGTTGTTCACATCAAGGACACGAAACACGGCGTATTTAGGGCTCTGCTCTTCTACCTCTACCATGACGTCGTCCCCTTCAAGAAGTTCGATTACGAAAACATTTCTGGTATTGGGCACAAAATTTATACTTTTTTCTAGAATTTTCTAGAATTGCAAGTACATTGCTAAAAATCTGGCATATACTCCATACTGGAATTGATTTGGTAGTAATTTCCTACCGGGTTGGTAGTAAGCAGTTTGTTGCTGAGTGGTAAATTTTTCTACTAAATGGTAACGCCTGTTATTACCGTGCCGATAGAGTCATTTTTTAACTATTTACTCTGGTCAGTCAGTAATTATTTCATACCAGTTTCCAAAGAGTGTATTTACTTATTACTTCAAACTTAAGAAATGTGACTTATTTATTTATTATTTTTAGGTCTCATGCAATTAGCTGATTCTTATTGCGACGTGACCATTCGGCGAGAATGTGAGAAGATTCTGATGAAAAATATCAACAAGGCGAATGCTTTCTTTCTGCTCCGAAGTGCTGCTGCAGCCAACGCTCTGGTTCGTGGTTTGAGTGAATTTTTATGATGTTTATAAGTAAATAATTAATTGTACTCTTTGTGATTATAGAATTTGGAGGAGACGGTGACAAAATTTATATTGGATAATCGACTGTTCGGAGTAACCTTGTCGTCGGACGAGTTGGTCGATTTGTTGGGTAGGGCAGTATTCGACAAATTGGCGATGGCTGCGTTTTGTCGGTAGTTTGCAATTAGATAAAGGCTTGAACACCAATGTTGTTTTATACCTCTATAATTTTTGGGATAAGATGACATTTCATGACTTGTAGTCGAACGTCTTGATTTTGTTGTTGTTAATGTTTTTGTTAGTTCACCTGTTTTTTATAAGAACATGTATCCAATTTGAGATTAAAAGAGGTTACTTCTTGAATATTTTATCACTTTCATTTCCTTGCGGAGTTAATAATTTACACAATACGTAATGAGAGTGTTCATTAAGAGATCGTATCTTCCCGATATGCCACCGCTTTCGTATCGAATTCTGTGCGAATTCAGTAAAGTCGGATTTGATTCGTGCGAATTCGCCGACTCGATAACGACTAAGGCCAGAATTCTGAAATGCATCATTTGATCAGAATCAGGTATGCGACTTCGCATCGAATCCTGATTGGTGTCTGAAAACCGACTTCGAAAAGACGACTCAAAGACGCCTTCGGGCGGAAGTGGTTTTACAGACTTTGTGCCGAATTCGTATTTCCGCATCGTTTCATATTCTGATTGAATACGTATTTCGAATTCGGACTGGGTGCGCAATTGGGAAGTCGGAGCGAATTCGGATTCACACGTAAAATCTGAATGCGTATCCCGACCGTGATACGACTTCGTCCCGTCTTCCCCAGACATAGGAGGGAAACTCAATTTTCATTGCCACCGCGTGTTTAGTCCATTTTTTCTTCCATTCAGAATGAGTAGCAAAAAGTTAAAAAATTATTCTGTTGTTAATTTTTATCAAGAAAATAAAGTTGCAATAGTTTGTTCATCATGGTTGGATAACACAAAGACTAGTTGCTCATGGCCAATTGGTCCGAATTCGGAGGACCACTTGAAGAAAAATCATCCTCCCACAACTAGCTGGCCAAAGTACTCGTGCAATTTTATGCAGGAATTTAGTAAGTTTCACTCAAATTACATCAGTTTTATGTAAGTATTAAATTCGCTTTTAATTTTTTAGATTCCCTAGCATCTGCGAAGGTGGGTCTTATCCAGGCCAAAAAAAGTGACCAGGTTCTTTCGTCCGGGGTGGATGAAATTTCAACAAGAAAAATACACAAGGGGAAAAAGAAAAATCCTTCGCTCAAAAAGCCGGCGCAAAGGAACCAAGAGGAATCGTCGACGGATGAAAGCAGCTTATCGAGCTGCTCCGAAGAAAGTGAGAAGCAGACACGGATCCCATTTGTGCCAATATGTAAGTCATAAAAAAATGTGTTAACTAGTTGGGGTAGAGTATAATAAGTTATTTAATCTTAATAATATCTTTTTACGAAATAGGTGCAATAACTGATTTAGGGACTGGTGAGTCGTCGAGCAATTCTGTGGCAGCGGAAACAATCCAGTCAGAAACTGAAAATATTGTCCTCGCAAGTGTCAACAACTCAAATTCCCTGAATGATTCGACTATTGGTGCTATTCCAAATATTTCTCTTGTAGACGTTCCAGGTTTTGAAACAATTTCCGAGTTGGTCACGTTGGTTCATGAATTGAAAGCAGAATCTCAAAGTTTGTAAAACATTTCACCAAATCTTTCATAAATTCATGTAAATTACCAATTAAGTTCTGTTGAATCTGTTTAGATCTGCAGACCGTTCTAGTAAGAGAATTGGTCAAGATAAATGAAAATTTAGTCGAACTGCTGCGCCGAACTTCTTCTCCAGGCGAACCCACCCTTGCTGAGCAACTTCGGCATCCTCCACTACCATCAACTTCTCTTGAAAACTTCCAGGGACTAATTGATTGGATCAATGAGGACGAGTTACACTTAAATTCATTGGTGAGTTAAATACGTACTCTGTCAGTTATTCTTGAAATGTGAATCTTTCGTAATCTCACCTAACCTTTAATAATTTATTTAATAGTGTCAAAAATTAAGCTATCTCGGTGGACGAAATCTGGAAGAGATTACAAACCGCATTCTGTCTGAATTGATTTCGACGGAACTGGCAAAGATTTGTAGTCACTCTGGCAAAGGAAAAAAAAGTGAGGTGGGATTACAAAGTCGAATTTTGGAACTGATTTACAGTAAGTATATTACAAATACTCGTATTTTTGTTGCAATACTTTTCGTAAAACTTACTGTACATTATAAATCTGTAGAATCCGTTCGACTCAACAAGGACACAAAATACACCACCAATAGTGAAATTGACGTGAAAATTCGAGCCTGGATAAAGAATAAGAAGGATCCAAGAAAAGTAGGAAAACAATCATGTCAGGCCGCAGCTTACAGCGGACAAGGCAACGACAACGAATAGAAGAGAGGTGCCGTATTCTGCGTGAAATTCGACAACCAAGTTTTAATAGTCATTTAATTCCACCGGTTCCTCAATCTTTAAATTTAAGCCCAATTAGAATTAATAATGTTAGGCAATCAGTTGCATCAGAGTTAGTTACGAGTACCACAGTAGAGGATATTTATAATAATAGTGGGAAGTTAGAGATTATAAGCAGTAACGTAGGCACAATTTTACCTAATCTAACAATTACTCCAATCGACCTAGCGCTGCGACAGTGGACCGTTAACCATAATGTGAAACAATCGGCTCTTAAATCTCTTCTAGTTATTTTAAAAAATTCGTATCCAAATAATAATTTGCCAACTGATCCGCGCACGTTGATGAAAACGCCACGCAAATTAAAAATTGATAAAGTTAGTGGGGGAGAATTCTTTTACTTTGGCGTGATCGGTGGCGTTATGCATAGGGTTAAATCTGGTCTTAAAAAAACTACAGCCACAAATATTGAAAATATGTTAGGGTCAGGACCAGTTATTAGTATTACTATAGGAGTTGACGGCATTCCAATTTCCAAAAGCTCGAATAAGAAGTTTTGGCCAATTTTAGGATTAGTAGATAATTCTTTAAACAATACGCCTTTTGTGATCGGTATTTATTATGCGGAACACAAGCCAACTAACTTGGACTTTTTAAAACAATTTGTTGAGGAATGCAAGGTTTTAGAATTAAATGGAATCAATTTGTCTGGCACTAACTACAGATTTAGAATTTCGAAAATTTTGGCCGACGCCCCAGCTCGTAGTTTTGTTAAGGGGGTGAAGATGCATAATAGTTATTTTTCTTGCGAGCGGTGTACTGAACAAGGTGACTGGAATGGTCGGGTGACATTTTTGAATCTTACTTTTACAAAAAGAACAGATGAGAGTTTTACCTTAAAAACTCAGAAATCTCATCATGTAAAAGAGACTTTGTTATCCGAACTTAAAATTGGTTTAGTTTCTCAAGTTCCGCTGGATTACTTACATTTAGTATGTTTAGGCGTTACTAGAAAATTATGTCGCATGTGGGTAAAAGGTCGTGTTCCCTTTCGACTTCTTGCTGGAAAAACCATGTTAATTAGTAATCGATTATTTGCATTTCGTAAAGATTTTCCAAAAGATTTTCAGCGAAAACCTAGATCGTTATTACAGATTGACCATTTTAAAGGGACTGAGTTCAGGACGCTTTTGTTATATACTGGGGTAGCAGCCCTTAGGTACATCATACCCCTTAAAGAATATAAAAATTATCTGAGATTTCACACTGCTCTTTATATACTTCTATCACCCAAGGCTAATGATCCTGGGTGGAACACCACCGCAAAAAATTTGCTAAAGAAATTTGTTAAATATTGCATAAAAATATATGGAAATGAATTTGCCGTTTATAATGTGCATGGGTTATTACATATTAATGAGGACGCATTATTATTTGGACAGTTGGATAATGCTAGTACATTTCATTTCGAAAGTTTTATGCAAAAAATTAAAATCTTATTGAGTTCACATAATTTTCATTTGGAACAAGTTGTAAAAAGGATAATGGAAATGGAAGCTGTTCATCAAGATATAACAATGTGTAATCAGGCAAAAATAGTCAATTTTTCGCCTAAAGATATGTGTAAGAATGGGGGTAATTGTTACATGCTAAAATCAGGTAAAATAGTTATAGTAAGTAATTTTGAGCAGGTTGGTGAAATAACACATTACACTTGTCAAGAATTTATGAATAGACGATGTGTAGAATATTATCCGATAGATAGTAGTGAACTATATATATTTTTTTCTAGTGGACTGTCGGAACTATCTAAAATAGAATTGTTACCAGATGATTTTTTATTTAAGTACATTATGCTACCATTTAAGACTGAATTTCTGTTAATTCCTATACTACATTCATTAAAATTATAGATTTGGCTAAAATAAAATTTGTATATTCAAATATTTGTATTTGCATTTATTCGTTATTGAGTCAGTTATACTTCCGATCTCGATCGTAAAGTGGAATAGGAAGAGATTCTGAGTCGATTTCGATGCGTGAATTAGTACTAAATCAGAACGCGAACAGAATCCGATCGCGGTCGGTTACCGAATTCTGAACGAGTTCGAATCCCGAATTCGTATCGAAGGCGCACCGTGAATTCGTATCGAAGGCGCACCGTGAATTCGTATCGAACACAACTTAGGCGACAAAACCTACATTCGATCAGAATGCGTGCACCTACTTCAATCAGAATTCGATGCGAATTCTGGTGGCACGTCGGGTTAACATAATTTTGAAAATAAATTGTTAAAACTATCGTTTTTCTTTGCATAAGTATGTATGTACATACATGTATTAGGCTTACTCTTAAAGTTTACAAACGAATTTTCGACCTCAATTTTTTTGCGAATTAACAAACTTTGTTTTCTTAATTGTTAATGATACTAACGCGTCGCCATGAAATGATACACTTTCTATCTATTTCAATGATTTTTATTATAAAATTCCCAACTTTAGAATCATCTTCTATTTACATACATGCGCCTGATGAGACTTTATGCTCATAGGTATGTTATTTAACTATTTATTTATGTAAGACTATTGTTATTAACAATAGTCGAAAAAGCTAACAACGCTAAAAAGCTTTGTCGTCCATTCTGCAAGGAGGCAGTTTTTACGGCGAGGCAGTCCCTGATTAGTGGCTTGTGTTCTAAACACCTTCTGTACTTATTATTCTATAAATTGATGTCAAATAAATTTCATGTCGACACGCTTTAAGCATTTTTTTTATCACACTTCCGGTGCAACCCTGGAAACCTCTTTCAATTGTCGAAGAGTAGTCATTTTTCAGAATTTTGGGTAGAAAAAAAAACAGAGTATTACTTAATTGGTGTGTCTATTAAACA